GTAACAACAAAGTCTCCAATGGAGACGTTACTGGGCCCGCTCGAGCAAATCGACGATCAACGGGAGGGCCTTTACCTTTACATATATATATATATATATATATATATATATATATATATATACTGTTTTTGTCTCAATCATTCAGATTCATAGAAAGGATGTTTGAATGAAAAGGTTTTTAAAAATTTTATCAAATGTCCTACTCCATGGAGAACCAAAGTCAGTTAGAAATATATGAGTTCATCATTGAGAGGCTGATGTTAATATGGTGGCTTAAAATAAGAGTGCTTCCATTTAAATTGGATATAAGTCTTCTTAGAACCACATCTTACAGAAATAAAATAAGCCTAAGTTATTTGTCATATCTTTGCCAAAAAGACTAACACTGAGACAAAGTGTGATAATTTGGGAGAATTTAAAGATTCCATAAGTAGGGCTAAAGAAACTGTAGTAGAATGTGTTCAAAGTTTCCCCAGAACTATTTTCCATTAGAACTTTTTGCAAAACCTGGTTTAAAATGAGCTATAAAATATATTAATTATGCAGATCCATTAGTCTGCAGAGTTGAGGTATTTCCATTTTCGACTCACCCCTAATCTTACAACGTTTAAAGAAACACAGAAGACATAGACCTTATTCTAGAGGATTTAGTGCCTCATTTGATCATTTTAGGCTCAAATTTGTCACTGATTTCATTTTCTAATACAAATATAGAACAGGACCACCAGCTCTATTTGTGCATTAGCTTAGAATGTTTGATGACAAAGCCAAGACTAGTCCAACACTCATTATGCCTTATTAAAGCCCTTTAATGATAAGATTGTTTTAGTACATATATCTATAACCAAAGAAACAGCTGGAAGTAACATAGGTAAGACTGCCACTTATTTTGGATTTGATCACTTCACTGGAGAATGCTATCTTATAGATGATCATAATATAATATGCTTTACAAATTTGAATTTCAGGTTGAATTTTACTTGGGGTGGGGTTGAGTTAGACACCTAGTGGTGCTTGGGACTACTTCTAGCTCTATGCTTTGGGGGTACTTAGGGGGAAATGAATTGTTGAGGATTCAGGATTGTACCAGGGCTGGCTGCATCCAAGGCAAGTGTCTTAATTCCTACCTCTAAGCCCTGTTAGCTTAGTTTTAAAGGGTAACCTGTATTAGATGAGCACTATGGCAAAACGCATTTTTAAGTTGGACTACATATTTGAGGGCTCTCAATATATTTAGAACCCTTATCAATGCAATTGAAGAAGAGCATATTTGATTTAAATTTATTTAACTTGACTTCAGTACCACACTTTAAAAAAATTAAACTACTTGATTATTTTTAAGAAAATTTAAAGGTGCAATAGGTAATCATTGTTATCAAGCTTGCCTTTGACAAAAAGAACTACCATTTTGGAAACATATTTTATTGTGTTCAGCACTCAGAACTCTATTTTTTGCGGGGGAGAGGGAGTTCATAGATCAGATTTGCCTCAAAAGTTATTGCATATTAGAAGAGATGACAGAGCACACCAAGAAGTCAATATAGCTTCAATACTTCAATATTTGATTTCCAAGATTTCCAATTAGTATAGGTTGCTGGTTCATTCATTCATTTTTTAATAATCCCTTTGTTCTTTTTTGGCTGAACACTTGAAAGAGGTACTAAGCAAGCTTTTGCCTTCTAGCAACATCCTCATCACTCATAATCCCTTCTCTTTTTCTGTAGAGAAAATAAAATCCACTATTTCAAAGTCATCGTATGACTGAGATGCCCTTGTCTCCAACCTGAAAATTACTAGTTGAGGAAAAATTTCAAACACATTGATTCTAAGTCAGTTACATTTTCCCTCTATAAGACTTATCTGAATTTCATTGTCTTAACTTTGCACTCAGGTGCAAAATAATGCATTTGGGACTCTGAATTTCAATATTGTTATGCCTCTGAGCATGCTTATTGGCAGCTGTGCTCATATTTTAATTACCCAGGTGATGTTGATGCTTTGCAGCATCCCACCTGAAGTGCCACCTCGGCCCTTTCCAGCTAGAAAAAGAGTGAAGGAAAATCATGCTAGGGGTAAAAGGAAGGTGAAAATACTACAACGTTTTCCACGCGTTATCAAAATCATGGCAATTGCTTTTTTATTTTGCATTAGTGACAATAGCCTTGAGCTATTGATATTTACAAGTTATCATGCCATCTTATTTCGACTCCTTGCTTAAAAGATGGGGAGACAAAAGGATCAATTTCTTTTGATTAATTGAACAAGCTTTAAACCTCAGACTTCTACCTAGATCTTTTCCTAATCTGAGTCCCCTTTGTCACCTCCACATTGTTGTAGCTGCACAAGTTGAGTAGAAATAAAACAAACTGTTCTCCAGTTCCAAGCACCTAATTAGTTTAGTGTCACAAAGGCACAGTCTATGGGAGAAAAAAACGATGTTATATTGTGTCCAGAGGAGGGGAAACTAACATAAATACAGTGTGCTGTTGTATGTTTTTGCAGATCAATGCTGTCTAGTCGTTGGTATTGCCTGTGCCCATGAAGTGAAACACAGAGAGGAGATGCCAGTCTGGCTCTGGAATGCAATTGCCTGGTTCTGAGTTTCATGAACAACCACTTGAGATGTGCTGTCTCATACTTGCAGCATTTCTGCCCTTTCTTAACTGTAAAGTGGGAACATAGTTGTATATTTCTCATGAAGTGATTTTGAAAATAAAATAAAAGTGATGCAGAATATCAGGCAAACAGTACTAGGCAAGTTGATACTTAGTAAATTGCAACAACTATTGCATTCTAAGTTTTGCCGAAATGAGTAAATCTTTATGAAGTAATTTCATTTTGAAATGAAAATGCCCTCATTATTCTTTATAACACTGCACAGATTTTAATTCCCCAGAACAGGTCACAACACTTACTTTTGGTGGGTTTGTGGCATTCTGAACCTTTGAAAAGTGACACCTTTAAAGAGTGTACACTGTACACTATGCCTAAGTCAAACTGAGGACCCTCTTCTCTTTAAGAGACACATTACACCTTGTCCTTCTTATGTATTGAAACATGCTTGGACCCTTAACTATTTTGTTTGTTGGCAATCAGGAGAACATGACATGTTTTCACCTGGAAGTTCCTATCCACTCTTCATTAACTCATGTTACTAAATACCTTTACATGATGGTAATCTCCATTACAACTAAGGATTTTGTACTTAACCTGTTACAACAGCTATGAAGAGAACAAGAGCAAAACTATGGATAAGCTGGAAGCTGGGGAGTTTGGGAGAGGGAGAAAGATCTTCACTTAGCAGTAATTGACAATAGCCTGAGGATAAAAGTTTGGTTCTGCAAGCAACTGTGTGATAGAGAACACTTGGTTCTAGGGAGGATTTATGGCATTTGAGGCTGCTGTTAGTAATAAGCTTATCATGACTAGTACAATAGATTTATGTGCATTTATATGATTTCTTTTTTTTTTGAGACTAAGCAAGATTGAGTCAAATGTAAAATTCTGTTTATTGGAATAAGTAGTTTTGTCCCAGCATGCAAAGGTTCTTATAGGGTGTAATGCCCAGAAAGAATAAGTGTATACAGGATAAGTGTATTCTTAGACACTTATTACTATTTCCATGAGCTGCCCTGAAACTACTTCAGAGCATGGAAAGAAAATACTGTTATTAAAAAGATCCTTACTAAGAGGTCTAGGTACGTGTAACATCCCAACTTTATTTTTTAAATCCTTGAAAAATAAATAGACATCCTTTAGCTTCTTAGTTAACTGGGTCTTTAACTTACATGACAAATCGATTCCCTAGTTCATTTCACCCTGAAAAGAACTGTGCAGATTTGTTGATTGTGTAACAAAAGATTAAAGCATCAGTTTGTTTCCATTAGAGCAATTACTTAATCATCTTATCATCGCTGACTAGAATAATTATATTAATAGACTTTCTCCCAGACTTCTGAATTAACAACAAAGAATTCAGACCCTTAATACTCTCTGAGGGGGGGAAAAACAGTTAAACAGCTATGACACTTAACAAGCAAGACTAGCAGTGGCGATCATTTAGTAATGTTGCACTACTTAGTATTTAGTAACACCAACTTTTCTCTTCATCAGCATCAGCTATACAAATATAAAAGCCAAGACTGGGCATTTGACAGATGGTGACACAAATACATAGTGCAGAGAAACAAGAGAAGCAACAGTCACTCGTGAGTCCATCATTTTCAAGGAATGCTAGAGGTTTGTTTTAATGGTCTAAATACTTTTAATAAATACAATTCTCAGGGCTGGAGAGGTAGCACAGCGGGTAGCGTGTTTGCCTTGCACAAGGCCGACCCGGGTTCGATTCCCAGCATCCCATTTAGTCCCCTGAGCACTGTCAGGGGTAACTCCTGAGTGCAGAGCCAGGAGTAACCCCTGTGAAGCGCCGGGTGTGACTCAAAAAGCAAAATAGATAAATAAATAAATACAATACAATTCTCCCAAAGACATATGCACCCAATCTTAGAGGAAGCTCATCTCACGCATTTTGCCCTGGTATAATACCTTCTGGAATCTGCACACCCCTTTTGGCACAGCATTAAACATTCAGGAGCTATTTATGGAGTTTAAAAAATTCTTGCTTTGATGCTGATAAAGAAACTTTAATTAAAATGGTAAGCAGGTTATATAGCACACTGAATCTTCTCAGGACATCGAACACTTCTAAGGGGGGGGAGGATATCGAATAAAATTCCATTTTTATAAAGCCAAATGTAAGTTTTCTTCTTTAGTTCTTTTCTCCACTATATTAAAAGAAATCTGGTGCATCACACTATTGAAAAGCCTCTGTGAGTTAAGCACAAGAATATAAGAGAGCAAAGTATAAATAAATGTTACTGGAAGAAATTTCTAAAATGATATCGGAAAAAAAAAAGTGACGGTGCAGCCCAAGTCAACCTATGAACACACACACATCCACACACACAGCCAGCACTAAAGCAAGATAGAGAGAAACTTACCGGAGCAAATATCACCATACACATTTACAAAAGAATTGATAATCCAACTTCCCTCTCCTGAAAGAAAATAGAGGTTTTCTCATACTAAAAATAAAGCTCCTCTGTCCACAGCACCAGCCACTTGTCTCTCTTTTTATGAAGCAAAGGAGGAGAACAAGAAAATCAATGAGGAGGGAAAGTAAGATGTTATACCAATCAGGTAGCAGCTTCTGCCTTATTTGCAGAGAGATGGCAAACCGGTCATATTATTAGTGACAACCCACAGCTCAAGTACGGCAACCTGATACATCCCCCTGGTGAGAGGCTGCCCGCTTTGTGGGGAGGCGCTTATCACCATGGGGAGCCCTCACACTTGGCTCTGCCGCTCACAAGTGCAACTGCACGGCTGCTCTGCGCAGGCTGGCTGCATCGCGAAGACAGAGCCATCTCCCCTTTGACTCTGGGAGCCCCTCCTCCCTGCACACAATGCTTAAAAGCAAAGTAGGAAACCAAAAGGAAGCCGGGGATGGGGGGTTGGTGGAGGGAGTGCGTTTGGGGGAGAGTGCCTAGTGGTTTTTATAAAGCCCTTATGAATAGATTTGCATAGATTAGGTAAAGGTTTGTGTGTTCCTAAAAATTAATTGCCCTCATTTCTCTGGAAATGCCTGGATGCTGTGCACGCTTCCCATCTGGAATATTGGTGCACCACCCATAAACAATCATTAAAGGACTGGTAGAGAAAGACAGGCTTGGGGAGTTCTGGCAATTGTGGAAAGGGCACATTTTAACTTGGCTGCTTATTCCTCAAAGTAGTGTTACTTAAAGCTTTCTTCTGCAAAATCTTAGCATGCCCACGCATTCGGAGATTGAAACGGGATGTTGAGTCTGTGTTTGTAAATGGACCCCACATCAAACTGCTAAACTTGACTTGGTCATGGGCTGAAATCCGGGCTTCCCCAAGCAGGATCTTGGGGGTAGGGGAGGGGGAGGAATTTGGCACCAATTTCCTGGAAAGGCTGCACCCCCTTACCTGCCATCCTTACACTGGCTGCTTAAGGAAGATCCTCTTGGCAGTCTGTACCTCAGCAAATTCCACAGAAAACTGCATGCTCTGCTCACAGCTCTCATTTCAGATCCTACTGTACACCGGAACAATATTGGGTAAGCTAAAGTGGTTATTGGTGATGGCACACACAAATTCACCTTTAGTATGAGACAACCTCTATTTTCTTTCAGGAGAGGGAAGTTGGATTGGCCATGTTTATTATGGTGGTTGTTTTTGTTTGTGTGTGTGTGTGTGTATGTGTGTGTGTGTGTGTATTAATTCAGTATTTATCTGAGTCTTTCTTTGAGTTCCTCTGTATCTGTTTCTCTCTCACACACATCATCACCACACCTTTACCAATGATTTTTAGAATCTCCTTTTCATCTTTCTCCACATATATTGTAACAACTTCGGGTGGGAGGAGCATTGGGAGACCAAACTAGAATGAACATATATTGGATAAAAAGTTGGTCTTCCCAGGTTCTATGCCCAGCCCCACATTTAACAAACTGGTCATAAAACTCAAGTACTCTGTTAAAGTCTCTGAGTTTTATTTTTGTCCTCTGTTAATATGTCTTTGGCAGAGAGATACAAAAATACTATCCAAAAAAAAAAAATGACTTACGCAGAGTAAAGACAATGGCTCATAATTTCCCTGCAACTCCACCTCACCTCCAATAACCGGTTAAAAATCACAGACATTTAAATATTTCTTCATAAATTAATGGACTGATTGAAGAATGGTATCCTTGCACTGAAAGCTGTACAGTTCCTCTCAGAAAGTTGATAAAGAGCAGTATAAGAGGCCCAGTCACATCTTCACAGGAGAGAATCATATGTCGTAGTTTCTCCAATGGCTAGTAGACCATTTTTCATTAGATATGAATATTAAGAGTACTGTTTTACAGTATGGACGATTCTCAAAAAATTAGAAATTGAGCTCTTATTTGACCCAGGAATACCACTCCTGGGAATATATTCCAGAGAGGCAAAAAAGTATAGTCGAAGTGACATCAACACTTGTTTATTCATTGCAGCACTCTTTACAATAGCCAGAATCTGGAAAAAACCTGAGTGCCTGAGAACAGATGACTGATTAAATAAAGAAACTTTGGTACATCTACACAATGGAGCACTATGTAGCTGTTAGAAAAGATAAAGTCATGAAATTTACATACAAGTTGTACTACATGGAAAGTATCATGTTAAGAGAAATGAGTCAGAAAGAGAGGGGTAGACATAGAAAGATTGCATTAATCTGGGGTACATAAAATGACAAAATAGGAGATTAATACCCAAGAATAGCTGAGATCAGTACCAGGAGGATTACTCCATGGTTTAAAGGCCAGCCGGGCATTCTAGGGGAAAGGGCAGCTCAGATAGAGAAGGGAGCACCAAATAAAGGGTGTTTAGATGATCCTCCCAGGAGGGGAGATGCATGTTGAAAGTAGACTAGACCAAACATGATGGCCACTCATTGTCTCTTCTGCACACCACAACACCCAAAAGGAGAGAGAGAACAAAAGGGAATGCCCTGCAACAGAGGCAGGGTGGGTTGGGGGAGATGGAATACTGGGACCCGTGGTGGTGGAAAATGGACACTGGTGGAGGGGTGGGTATTTGATCATTGTATAATTGAAATCCAAGCACAAAAATTTGTAAGTCTACAACTGTACCTCATGGTGGTTCACTAATAAAAATTTTAAAAAAAAGAGTAGCGTTTTAGGTAAAAATATTTTTCTTTCACATAATAATGTTGCATGTTATTCCACATATGTGTGGACATTATTATAATATATAATGACATATCATATTATATATTGTAATATGTGATACACATTAAAATAATACACCCCACATAATATCCATTGAATGTTTACTCTGTATCAGGTACTAATTTAGGTATTTGTGTGTTGACTGTAAATATATTACCTTGTGTGGATCTCACTAGTCCACAAAATATGCTGCTTTTCGGTATCAGTTATGAAGAGGAAACCAAAAGCCAGAAAATCAAGCTAATAGATCTGAAAGTAGACAGGCTATAACTGGTAAAGGCAAACTTTGAACTTAGACAAATGCCAGCTGTGAGCTGTAACTACTCTGCTCAAGAGAGGCCATCAGAATCCTTACGATATCATTTAGTCAGTCTCCATGGTATGAATGATCCATACATGGAATATGGACCTTTCATGAACTCTACAACATTTCTCACTGTATTGATACCAGACACTAGGAAACTGGTGTATAAAGACCTGTTATTTAATGACTCTGGGTGTATCTTTAATCTCATTGTGTTTCAGTTTTTCTCATATTTCAATTGTAGGGCTTCTGATGAATGTTCTGTCATGGATTTACTGGGTCACTTTCCTTCTGTTAAGTTCTTCAACTTACAGCTTGGTTGAAATCTGCTGGTTGAGTTAGCTGCCTCAGATTCTGTTACAGATATTAGCATTATAGGGCTGGAGAGATAGCACAGTGGGCAAGGTGCTTGCCTTGCACGTGGCCAATGCATGTTCAATCTCCAGCATCCCAGACGGTTCCTGGAATACTTTTAGGAGTGATCCCTGAGCACAAAGCCAGGAGTAAGACCTCAGCACTGCTGGATGTTCCTCTCCCCCACCCCCCTCCCCAAGTAAAACAGACAAACAAATAATCATTATCATTCAGTGCAACTCCCCTGCTCACATCCATCCCTTACCTGGACCTCAGCAACAGGCTGCCTGCAGTTCTCGCTGCGTTTACTCTCAGCCCTATAAAGCATGTGATCTGGTTCTCACTTAACTTTTTGTTCTGATCTACTTCCAACTCTCAGTTGTCCTACTTTTCAACAAACTGTCCTTCTAAGTTTTCGCATTTGCTATTCGTTTAGCCTGAAATATTTATTCCTTAGATGATTGCCTACTCTCTCTTCCTTTGTGATTCAATCTTTATTTCTATTGTCTGCTCTTTAGAGGATCCTTCTTTGATAAACAGACCTAAAAATAATTCTTTCTCCCAGGCATTCCACTTCACATTATCTTGCATTTTATTGTATCTGCTGCTTGGGTGTTGGGTGTTTCACCTTGTTTTTTACTGCTTAATGCTGGATATGCTCCTTTCTATTCATTACCATTCAATTATTGATTATCTTCCTTCATGAATTGATAACATCTACGGAAGTTGGAAGCCAGCTGTTTTTACATAATGCTGTATACTCAAATGTTTTTGGTACACAGTAGCTTCTTAATTTCATCTGAAGAGTCATCAACATGAAAACAACTGGGGCCGACTGGGGCCAAAGAGATAGTACAGTGGATAAGGCACTTGCCTTGCATGCAGACACCCAGGGCTTAATCTCCAGCATCCCGTTTGGTTCCACGAGCACCATCAGGAGTGATTCCTGAGAGCAGAGCCAGGAGTAACACCTGATAATTGCAGGGTGTAACCCAAAACAGGAAGGAAGGAAGGAAGGAAGGAAGGAAGGAAGGAAGGAAGGGAGGGAGGGAGGGAGGGAGGGAGGGAGGGAGGGAGGAAGGAAGGAAGGAAGGAAGGAAGGAAGGAAGGAAGGAAGGAGGAAGGAGGGAGGGAAGTAAGGAGGGAGGGAGGAAGAGAGGGAGGGAGGAAGAGAAAGAAAAGAATGAAAAAAGGAAAGAAAGAAAGAAAGGAAGGAAGGAAAGAAAGGAAAGAGAGAAAGAAAGAAAGAATGAAAGAAAGAAAGAAAAAAGAAAGAAAAGAAAGAAAGAAAGAAAGAAAGGAAGGAAGGAAGAAAAAAGAAAAGAAAAGGAAAGTCAAGAAAGAAAAGAAAAGAAAAACAGTAAAAGAAATCTAAGTTTAGTAAACTTTCTTAGTTGTAAAATGGGATCGTTGAGCAAGGATAACTGGTTTATTCACACTTGTAAATAAAAATCATTTGCACAGCGGTAGGGCATTTGCCTTGCATGCAGCCAACATGGCTGACTTGAGTTCGATTCTTCCACCCCTCTGGGAGAGCCCAGCAAGCTACGAGAGTATCTCGCCCGCATGGCAGAGCCTGGCAAGCTACCCGTGAGGTACTCGATATGCCAAACACAGAAACAAGTCTCATGATTGGGATGTTACTGGGCCCGCTCAAGCAAATCGATGAACAACGGGAAGGACCCTGACTGTGACATTCAATGAACTTGAAATTATGTAGATTTCAGTATCACATTGATTTAAATCATGTTCATGTAGGAGAGTGGAGATATCTTTTGCAAACTATATTGATCAAGTAGTTTATAGAAGAATGAGCTCCCTCAGTAACCTTCAGTTTACTTAGGCTCAGGTTAGAGAAAGAGTACAGTGAATCAGGCACTGGACTTGCATTTGGCCAATCCTGGATCAATCTCCAGCACCACAGATGGTTTC